TTAACCTCAAATTCACAGGAAACGATCGGAAACGTCCATGTTGAGTGAGGGAAGTGGGGCCGGCCATCTTTGAGAAGGGCGTGACTGGTTGAAAATCGGTTCTGAATTCCTAGCGGCGAGTCGCCCTGCCCCGCCCGGCGTCCGAGGCGTAGTTTACATCGCTAATACTTCAGCGCGCTGTTTACGCAACTGAAGTTGCCATTTCGTTTAAGGGCCCTCGCTAATAATTTCTGAGTAACGTAACATCTGAGGCCGTTTTCTTGTGAAATTAGTTAAGCCGCAGCAGCTTGTAGTAAAAAGCACAACGAAATAAAAGTATGCTTCCTGTTTGATAGTGTTAGTCACCACACAACCCACGTTCTCTTAGCCAATTCTTAAGATTCGATATTCTTTTTACTCCCACCTTCTAGTGGAAATTCTAATAAGCAATGTATTGCCCAAAAGGCAGATAGAAGAATAATGAAGGAAAAGCAAAGGACCCAGTTAATTCAAAAACTAGGTTTCTCAATTCAGCTCCTCAATAGCTGAGTCAATAGTAATTTACCATCTCAGAGCCTGGAGGAGAGTTGAGGTTCCATAAAGATGTACCAAGAGATTCTCTAACTTAAGCTTGCTAAGACAAGCTGTTTATTCCGAGATGGGCTATATTTCATTCTCTCCCCTCTCCACCCACTTTCATTTTTCAACCCTTTGGGAACCATAATAAGCCAGGAAGTGGGCAAATGTATGCACTGTTGCCTCCTGCTTTATGGTTCTATGAAGTCAGTGTCTGGCCTGCCTCGTTGAATTCCAAGGGGCAACATCCATCAACATCTAAATTCCACTTACCTCTGATGCCCAACTTAGCCCCCCTCTTCCCTAGCAGACTCCACATGTGTTGTATTTTTAATGCTGAAATTTGGCAACCCTTTCCAAGCCCAACCTCAGAATGCAATGAAATAGAAGATCTTTATCTGTCTCACACATGGATGGTGTAGAAAATGCAGAGTGCCTGTTTATTGAGCACATATTATTTTGCAGTAACACCTGCAATACAAGTCGTCCTTATGCGTTCTCTCACTTTCTTTCACTCTGCCTCTGGTAGTATTTGCACTTCTCTTAAGGCTCTTTTACATTTTACTTGGTTGTAAGTGTACATCTGTCTTCTACTAGATTGTGAGTGTTTAAAGGCAGGTATTTCTCTCTTCATCTCTGTGTCTACTGCATACTTAACACATGGGTGACGAATACATGAAAGAATGACAACAGTGTTCTTCCAGTCAGAAACTTGAAACTCTGACTCATCTTGACAACTCCCCTTCCTTTCTTCCACATCCAGTAAGTTGCTAAGTCCTGTTCATTTTTCCACCACATTTCTCGCATTCTTTTTCATTGCAACTGATACCACCTTGACTTCTTATCTCCTTACTCCTGAATTACTGAAATATTCTCCTAGCTGATTTTTCTGAGGCCAAACTACCTCTAGTTCATTCTGCATCACATCAGATTAATTGCCCTAAAACATCTTCTTGATCTTACCATTTTATGTTGTGTAAAGTTCAGCAACTCAGCATGGCATTCAAAGCCTTCCGTAATTTGTTCCCAATTTACCTTATACTAGCTCTCTCCCCTAAGGTCCCTGCTCATGAAGACCTCAAAAAGGAGGGGTACAAGCGATATGTTGGTGGGAATATAAATTGGCACAGGCAGCATTAAAACAATATGGAGGGTCTCCCTGGTGGTGCTGCGGTTGAGCGCTGGGTTGCGAAGCTGCCCGCAGCCTCTGCAGCGCCGGTTCGATCCCCGGCTGCTCCCCGGCCACCGGAGGAGGGTCCCACATGGCGCGCAGACCTCTCCTGCCGCCCACTGCTCCCCTCAGCAGTGTACTTCGGTCCTTCTGCCTGCTCTGCTCCCCGCTCTGGCTCTGGCGAATTCTCTCACCCTCCCGCGCTTCTGACTGTACCCAGTGCTTGTATAAATGAATGAATAAATCTTTAAAAAAATAAAATAAAATAAAATAAATAAAACAATATGGAGGTTACTAAATTTTTTAAAAATAGAACTACCATTTGATCCAGCAATTGCTAGTCTGGATATTATCTGAAGGAAATGATATGACGATCATGTAAAAATATCTGCACCCCAATGTTCATAGCAGCATTATTCACAATAGCCATGATATGAAAAAACCTAAGTGTCCATCAGCAGATGAATGAATAAAGAAGAAGTGGTATATCTATACTATGTAATATTATTCAGCCTTTAAAAAAAAAAAAAAAAAAGGAAACCCCCCCCTGCCATTTGGAATAGCGTAGATACACCTTGAGCACATTATGCCAAATGAAATAAGCTGCAAACATAAAGACAAACACTGTACTAGCTCACTGATATATGGGATCTAAAAAAAAAGCTGAACTCTTAGAGAGTAGAATGGTGGTGGCCAGGAGCTGGGGGGGATAATGAGGAGATGTTGATCAAAGGGTATAAACTTGCATTTATAATAGGAACAAGTTCTGGGTGACTGTAGTTTTATGGCCTAATTTATAGCCTAGTGGCTGTGGTTAATGATACGATATTGTTGAAAGTTGCTAAGAGAGTAGATTTTAAATGTTCTCACCATAACAGCAACAAAAATGGTAATTATGTGAGGTGAAGGATGTATTAACTAGACTTATTGTGGTAAACATTTTGCAATATATGCATATATCAATCTTCACATTGTATACCTAAACTTACACAGTTTATATATCAATTATATCTTTGTAAAGTTGGGGGCAGGGGAGAGAAAAAAGATAAGTGATGTAGTTTAGAGGTGGGAGAGAAGGTCAGTATAGATTGGGATGGCACTGGGGGTCCAGTGAGAGGGATTCCAGACAAGGAGATCTGGGTTTCTTTCTTTTTCTTTTCTCTTCTTTTTTAAAAAGATTTTATTTTTATTTATTTATGCATATGAGAACTGGGGTATAGGCCAAAAGTGCAGGGGGTAGGGGTGACAGGATTCACCAGAGACAGAGTGGGGAACAGAACAGGAAGACTGACTGAAATACACTGCTGAGGGGAGCAGCGGGAGAGACAGGAGAGGTCTGCTGCACCATGTGGATAGCTCCTTGGTCGGGGATTGAACACATGCCCCAGTGACTGATGAGAGCTTCATAGTGCTGAGACTTTAACTCCTGTGCCACCAGGGAGGCCCCTGAGCTTATTTCTTTAACTACTGCATGGGTGCCATTGTTCCTTAAACCCACAGCCTCTCTTCTCTCAGCCCATACTTGGAAAGGATTTTTAGAATAGGTGGTACTTAAGGCAGTCTTTGAAGGATAGGTTGCAAATAGATGAAGGGGAAATGGGAAATGTGCTAGGAATAGCGTGAAAAGAGGTTGTGGTGGATGAATTAGGATCAGACTTTCGTGGGCCTTAAATGCCATCCTGGGGTGGAGAAGGTGGTTTGGATTTGATCCTGTAGACCTTCCGGTTTCCTTAAGAGGAGACACAGGATTTGAGTGATACCTTAGGTAAACATGTCAGTGTGGAGGATAAGACAAGAGGGGAGCAGAGGGAGGTCAATTAAGAGGCCATTCAGCTGTCCAGATCTGACTTGCTAATGGCCTACCTAGGGAGGTGGTAATCCATCTATATATAAAGATCTAAGACTGTCCTTAGGAAGAGGAGACAGTCTTATCTCTTCAGTAAGACCCCCATGTGGCCAGACACAAAGAAAGAGAGAGGGCTGGTTGGGCCTTAGTGTGACCTGGTTTCTCCACTCTTCCCTTGACCTGCTCACACATGCCCTTTGTACCAAGAGTCCAGGAAACTATGCAGCCACAGCCCCATCATCATGATCTGGTGGGGTCCAGCACTTTCCTCTGTGTGGCTTGTTTCTTTGACTAAACTCAATGCCATGGCATCCCTTTGGCCGGCAGAGTTTAGTGAAATTTACTCCTGGTGGTGCTGGAAGAAGCTGTGACTTGTCACTCTGTCCCAACCTACTTTGTCTTTCTGAAGGGTCAGTTGCCAGGGTTCTTCAGCCCCACCCTCAGCCACCGCTGGTTGGTCTAAGACTGAGGCTCAGCGTTATCGCATCAAGGTCAGTTGTTTCTCCTGCCCTGTGAAACCACAAGACAGCTTTTATGCCCTTGTGAATCTTGGGCAGAAGGGTGACCAGGAGAGAGGAGGCACCACATCCTTTCACTACATACTCACAACTTTAGCATGAGAAGGAGAAGCTATCCTGCCAGAGGGCCATCAGGAATGCCATGTTGCACATGGAAGTTCATGTTCACCGCCAAAGCAGAGGGGAGAGAGAGCTCCAGGGTCCAGTTTCCCTTCATCTTGGCCACTCAGTCACCTGCCTTCCTGGAAAGAATCTGAGCCCCCCTCCTCCGGCTAACAACACCCTCGCTCTGTTCTGTCTTTGTCCCCGTTCACTTCTCTTCTACTTTGACCATAAGGTGAAATGTGAGCCCGGCATCACAGTCCCCCAAGAGCAAACCCAACATCAAGGTCCCTGCCTCGGTGTGTCTGTAGCCCACTCTTCTGCTGCAGCAGAGCACTCTGATTCATCTGCACCTCTCCTCAGCTGGGGACTCCTTCAGGCCAGGGACAGAGCCTTATGTGTCTTCCCAGTGCCCGCCACAAGAAAACAAGAGGAACCCAGCTCTGCTCCTCCACTTGCGGTTACCCCAGCAATACCTTTTGCAGGTACCCCAGCCCCCACTCCACTCCAGGTGCTTGGAGGATGACAGACAGGAGACTCCAGGGTGACGCTCAGGGGTGTCACGGGTAGTGGCTTCCCAGTGCTGGGGATTCCACTGCCTTGTCCTCAGCCGTCCTCTGAGCAGGAGGGGCTGCTCTGGCAGCCAGTCCTAAAGCCTGATTTGAGGTTGGGAAGAAGTGAAGCCACAGATCACATGCCTTCCTCACCGGTTCTGGCTGTAGCCCAGCTTTTCCTTAGCGTCCCCCGCCCCCCAACCTCAGTCCCCAAATCCCCGACTCGCGTCCTCCAGCCTTCACTTAGCCCCAGGATGGCGCTGCAGGATGTGTGCAAGTGGTGGGCCCGGGGCACCCAGGAACCATCCCCTCATCTGCCTCCAGCTGGTGGCTGGGCTGTGCCCCGGGGCTGTGACCCTCAAACCTTCCTGCAGATCCATGGCCCTCGGCTGGCCCACGGCACCACCACCCTGGCCTTCCGCTTCCGTCACGGAGTCATCGCTGCGGCCGACACGCGTTCCTCCTGTGGCAGCTACGTGGCCTGTCCAGCCTCACGGAAGGTCATCCCGGTGCACCAGCACCTCCTGGGCACCACCTCCGGCACCTCCGCCGACTGTGCCACATGGTACCGGGTGCTGCAGCGGGAGCTGCGGCTGCGGGCACTGAGGGAAGGTCAGCTGCCCAGTGTGGCCGGTGCCGCCAAACTCTTATCAGCCATGATGTTCCCCTATCGGGGCCTGGATCTGTGTGTGGCCACCGCCCTGTGCGGCTGGGACCGCTCTGGCCCTGCCCTCTTCTATGTCTATAGCGACGGCACCTGCCTGCAGGGGAACATCTTCTCCGTGGGCTCCGGATCGCCCTATGCCTACGGCGTGCTGGACCGCGGCTACCGCTACGACATGACCACCCAGGAGGCCTACGCCCTGGCTCGCCGCGCGGTGGCCCACGCCACCCACCGAGATGCCTACTCAGGGGGCTCCGTAGACCTTTTCCATGTGCGGGAGAGTGGGTGGGAGTACGTGTCACGGAACGACGCCTGGGCGCTGTACTCGGAGCTGCAGAAGCTCCCAGAGCCAGAGAAGGAAGAGGAGGCCAGGGAAGCCGGTCCTGAGCCTGCCACCCCCCGAAAAGCTGGGGAAGGCGGGGACCTCGCTGCTGGGCCAGCCCTGGGGGACTCCAGGATGCCCGGAGAGACTGAGGTGCTGTAAGAAGCAAAAGGACTTGGGGGCTTAGAGCAAGGAAGAGGGTGGGGGGATGGGGCCGCAGGGGCAGCAGCCTCCCACCATTTGGCTCCAGCCCTTAAGGCTTGACGGCTTTATTTATTCCAGGTCCCCATCCTTCCTGCCTCTCAGAGCTATTGATGCTCTGCCCGGCACGTTCTTATTGACGCCCAATAGATTGGTCCAGCCTCCTTGTCGGCACCGAGTCCTTCTTTTCGCAGATGCTTACTGCGTGGCTGCTGCACGCCAGACACCGTGCTAGGTGCTAGACCCTCTTTTTTTTTTTTTACCATCCTCTTCTGCTTTTTTCATCCCATCCCCTCTCTCTCTCCTTCCCTCAGGTTTTCGCCCTCCCTCTCAGTTTTGGTCTTTTCACCTTCTCACCTCCGTGAATGGGGGAGTAGCTGGAGGGGGAAGAGGTGGGGATGGAGCCCAGAGGGCCCAGGCGGGGAGGGGCGGGGAGAGTATGGACACCCACAGGGTGGTGACAGGCTTTTCCCTTCTCCTCTGCCACCTCCCTGCACCCCCACTGAACTCTAATGATTACTTCTTTACTGAATGTGATGCTCATGATAACTCTTTGGAGGAAAAAATTATCCTCACTTTACAGAAGAGGAGCTAGGGTAGCGGGTTGTGTGGCTTGCTGGAGGTGACACAGCAAGTGGCAGAGCTGAGGCTGAGCGCTGGGCCTTCCGCTCCAGAGCTCCGCTCCTCCTGCGGCAGCTGCTCCTCCAGGCCCCTTCCCTGCCCCTCTCCTCTCTCAGCAGGCAGAGCCCTGCAGGCATCTGGGAGTGATGTGAGGGAGAGCGGCTGGGTCAAGCCCCTGCGTGGTGGCTAGAGAGGAGTGAACCCAGAGGGTCCAAGGGTTTAGAGGGCTGAGCCCAGGGAAGCTGCCCGCACCCAGCCTCAGCTGGTCGGGGCTGTCAGGCCTTGAAGACCTGTCATTGCTGCTGCCAGATTCCTCCCCCCGGCACCGCTTGCCTTCTTTCCAGCCTCTTCTTCCCGGAGATCCCTCTGAGGAATGAAGGAAAGGGAGTTTGCCGTGCCCGTACGAACTGTCAGGTTAGCGCATGCTCTCCAGCCCCTTCTTGCCCCCTTCTGCTCCCCTGCAAGCCCTGACTGGAGAGGTAGGCTGACCCCAGGAGGCACACCACCCGCCCCCTCCCAGGCCAAGTAGGGGAAGAAAGCAAGGTTGACCTAAGATGGGGCCTTGCTCAACCTTCTCTCTCTCATCCCACTTCTCCAGCCACCTTCCTTCCCTCTGGACAGCCCTCCTCCGCCAAGGCCTGAGCCCCACCCGTGCACTTCGCACCCCAGACTGAGAATTCCCCCAGGTGGGAGCTACCCAGACAGAGGGGACCCCCAGGTCTGATCAGGGGATGACTATGGAGGAGGGAGCACTGGTCAGGGATCAAGGAAATCAATGGGGGTGGAGGGGAGGAAAGTGTGGTGGGAAACAGGCAAACAGTACCAGCCTTGGAGCCAGGGTCCAGAAATCTGTCCAGGGGCCTCTGTAGCAACCTTTCTTCAGGGAAGGAAGTGTGGGACTCTGGGAATGATAATAGGGGCCTGGGAACCCCTGGGCCAGCCTAGACCCTGCGGGCCACAGGAGGAAGGCAGCCTTCGCCCCCGGGGTTAAAGTGATTGAGTGGCAAGAGGGCGTGTCTCCTGTGCAGAGATGGGGATGGACCTTGTGTGGGGCTTGTGAGTGGGCCTGCATAGGTGTGTGCACGGGAGTGGGGCAGGTGGAACATGTGTGGTTCCTGTGTGCAGAGACAGTAAAGAGACTGGAAGAGAAAGAGTAATAGCAGGTAAGAGCGGCCACTGATGTTCACAGGAGAAGGCCTCATCACTCCTTTTGGGAAAGTGGTCCAGAGTAAGAGGAGGTGGGGACAGACTCATCCTACCCCTTTCCTGAGCCTGCATCGTCCCACCTCTATCCTGCCACAAGGGAGTGAGAAAAGGCAGGGAGGGAAGGGTGCTTGGGAGCTTGAGGTACCACCTCACCCCACCAAAGACTTGCTAGGAGCTGCAAGCAGCTCACTCCCTGGGGCGCTCAGCACCCTCTCCTTCCCATAACCTTGACAGGATTGAACCTAGACATGAAGGGCAGAGAGGAGGGGAGCCCTTTACTGCACCTGCTCCCATCACCTCTCTCCTTTTTCTTCCACGGTCTGCCCCTCTTCACTGCCTGTTCTTCAGGATGGAACACTAAACAGAGATGGGCCCAGGGGTCTTGTTGACAAGCCTGTTTCCCTATGCCTGTTTATCCTTGAAGTTTTTAATGGGTTGGGGTGGATCTCAGAGGGCTGGGAGAGCAGGTGAAGGCTGCGTCCCATTTCAGTGCCCCAGCACTACCTAGGAGTGGCCTGTGAGTCAGCCCCTCCTTCCCACCAGGGACTCCTGAAGCTGTGGTGCTGATGTCAGGGTGAGGCCAAAGGGCAGAGGTCTTGCCTGCCCTTCCTCATCTGGAGGACCCTATTCCTCTACGCCCTGCTGGATGCTGCCTCCTACAGTCTCCCAAGGCCTTCCAGGACAGACAGTGGCCCTTGTACAGGACCCCGGGCAATCAGGGGTCCAGTTCCAGCTTTTCCTCAGAGTAAATAAATGTCAAGTCCATCACTGGTGCCGGGGTCCTTGTTCTCCCAGCTGGCTGCCCCAACTAAGCAGGAAGCTGTGAGAGAAGATATCCTTTTGTTGAAACAGCTTCCCCTATTGCCAGTGCCCACATCAGGAGGGGTGGGTCACAAGGACTTGTTCTGATCCTTCTGCTTGAGCCTCCGTGAGCCCTGCCTGGAGTTGGGAAGCTTGGGTGCTTATGTGGGTTTCCGGGTGGACGCTTCTCTGCTCAGGAGTGGACTTGGAGTAATGCCAGTTGCCCCCTCAGCTCCTACCCCAGATGAGTCTGATTCTGCCCCGCTACAGCCCTTCTCCTGGTGCCCTCCCTCCTCTTCTGTGCTTCACGAAGAGTGAGCCATGGACGGGAGAATCAAAGGTGGGGGACAGGATCAGATCCACTGTGACTGTGCCCTCTCTCCCAGAGCACAGCCCCACAGGCCTCAGGAAGGGCTGGCTTGCCCTCTCTGCCGCCTACCACCCACATTTGTTTCTAGTCTAGAATCCCTTTTCCTCTCTTCTGAGCATTTTTACTTCCCGCCCCCCTTCTTGGTAGCTCTTGACCTTTGCATCTCCTTCCCATCCTCCCTTCTGGCCCATCCCCACATCTTAATTTCCTTGGACAGTTTGAGAACAACAGGGAACCCAGAGAGTTGGTGGTGGGGGTTCGAGTCAGTATCTCTTTACTCCCTGAATGGAATCAGCCCAGACCCTCCACGAAGAGGGACTTGACTGGATTGTCCCCCAAAGGAGAAAGCGCAGGAGGGGATGGGCTGAGGCCTCTCCTCCGCCCTTTGGTGTAGCAATGCTCTGTAGAGAAACCTGAGTGGAGGAAGAGAATCAGGCTCTGCCTTTACAAAATAAAGTGTTTGTTTATTATGAAATTAGAGATGGAGGCCCCTCCCCTTCCTCCCTCTTTCCCCTTCCCCAGCTGCCTCCCCCTTCTTTCCCCTCCCCTCCCCCTGGGGCTTGGGAAGCACACAAATCAATGCCCAGAGCAGGCTGACAGGTGGGCAGAGCTCCAGGGAGGCGGCCATGTGGGGGGCTGGAGCTCTGGTCCTGGGAGGTGGGCTGGCTCCTCTCTTTGCTGGAGGCCATGGAGCCAGGATGAGGCCATGAGTGATGGATGGAACCATGCGGGCAGGTCTGTAAAGACAGGAGAGCTGGTTAGAAGTGATGAGTGGATCAAAGGGCGGGGCTTCGGGCTATCCCTGTGCCCCATATGTAGTCTGGAGGCACTGACCTGGGGCTGAACATCCCCTGCAGGAGAGTGGGCAGCAGTGGCTGGAAGTTTCTCTTGCTTTTGGAATGGATAACAGAGAAAACCAAAAAGCCAGTCACAGGGACCCAGAGAGAATGCGGGCAGATGTGGGCAGGAGACAGACACAGAGCATGTGTGGAGGCCAGGAAGACAGAGCATGGGAGAGATTTAGAATCAGGGAGACAAAAACAGAGCCACGGAGAAAGTGAAATCACAGTGAGAACAGAGGTGCAGTCGGGGCCACATAGCCCAGACCTTGACAGGGAGAGTGTTACAGATTCCTGGAGAGACACAGAAGACTCAGGAGGAGAGGGAGGTAAGAAGGAGGTTGCCCTGGGGGAGTTGGGAGGAGGGGCACAGGGACAGGAGGAGGCCTGGGGCCCCTGGGCTGCTGCTACCTGCCTGGACCCCGGGGCTCACTCAGAGGGCCTGTTCGGCCGCCCCACTGCAGGGGGCAGGGCCAGGGCCAGCTCTCAGGGGGTCGGGGGCTCCTTGGCCCCATACAGCTCGGCCAGGGTGCGGAAGAGGGGTCCCCAGTCGTCCAAGGGCTCCGCGGGGCCAAGGACACCGCCGGCCTCGCTGCCGGACCCCAGGGAGCTGAGGGAGCCGCAGGAGGAGCCCCGGCCCTCGTAGCCGTACACCTGCACCGAGTCGTAGGGCGGCACGCTGGGGTCCTCGTCCGCCTCGCGGAGCCGCAGCGCCAGCAGCTGGGCCACGTCGGCAGGGCCGGGCGGCCGGGGCTGGCGCGGCGCGCGGGTCCGGGGCAGCACGTCGCGGCGTGCAGGCGGGCCCGGGGCAGGTGGGGCCGCCCCGTCGGGGTTCTGCAGGGCGCTGATGTCGAAGGCCTCCGTGTCCTCCTCGCCACCGCCCTCGTCATCGTAGGTGATGATGTTCTCGCGCACGTCCTCCTCCTCCAGCACCATCAGTGCTTCCTGCTTTTGGCGCCGCAGGGCCGCGAAGAGCACCACCAGGGCTGGGGAGAGGCCACCGGGCGCTGAGCCGGGCGGGGCGCCTGCGGGGGCCGCCCGGTCCCCTCTGAAGGGCGCATAGGGTAGGTGACAGAGGGGGCCACGCGGCCGGGGGCGGGGCACACCCTCCTGTGACCGGCTTTGCATGTGAGTTCACCCCTTACTAGCAGTGTGACCTGGGCGGGGCTTAACGCCTCCCAACCTCCGTGCCCTTTAGAGGCCTTGTGGGTGAAATAGGGAAAACATTGACCTCTTAGGGTGGATGAAGGGATGAAATGAAATACCACACATGATGTGACTAATTCCACAGGGGCTGAGAGCTGGGGTGCAAAGAACACTTTTTTTTTTTAATGGCTGTGCCTGCCATTAGATTGGCAAGTCAGGGTTATGAAGGCAGAGCTCTTCTCTTAGGTACATCAGGCAGAGGGGAAATCTAGACTTGAGGGTTTCTTTGAGCCTGAGGGTGGGTTTCCCCATGTTTATACCCCCACTTCCTCTCCATACCCCCAGGGGTCTTGGAGCCCCTATCTGTGTCCCACTGTGATCTGACTCACCAAGCAGGGTGCCCACACAGGTGACAATGGCAAGTAGGGCCCCGGTGCTGAGCCCAGCAGGTGAGAGCTGAGCCTCTGGCCGGCAGGATGCCACAGAGCCGTCAGGCCGGCAGCGGCACACGCTGACAGTCACTGTGGCAGTGCTGCTCAGTGCTGGCTGCCCCCAGTCCCACAGCTCAATGGGAACCAGGTAGGGGGCCTGGCGAGGTGGAGCAGGGCGGGAGGGCAGCAGCAGGCTGGCAGAGCCATCTGTGGGAGAGGAAAGAGGTTGGGACACTTCCTAAGACACCTTCTCATAGGGTCAGTCGGTCCATGCCAGGGAGACAGCTTCCCGTGAGGAAGGCTTGAAAAGAGCAAAGATGTGCAGCTCCACATACACCTTCTGTTGGGTGGAGGCCCAACACCTTCTGTTGGGTGGGCAAGGGTCAGGCAGGCTAGGCTGCGAGGCTGGTGAAGGGGAGGAGGAGGGAGGCAGGCATGGGCATGGCAGTAGAGACCACACACCTCGGTTGTCCCGCACAGTGAAGTTGGCATCAGGGCCCAGGGGACCTTGAAGGGAGACTCGACTACTGTTGCCAGTTTCATCTTTGTCCAGGGCACGGATGACCTGAATCAGCTGGGAGGAAGAAGAAAGGCCTTGTATGGAGTGGGCTGCTGGAGGTCTGGAGGTCCCAACCCCTCTGCCTCAGCTGCTCACCTGGCCTGGGGCTGCAGAATCACACACAAAGGTGTCATAGGGCTCAGTCAGCTGGGGAGCATTGTCATTCTCATCCAAGGTCTGGATGGCCACTTGCACGCGGGAGGCCTGTGCAGAGCTGTCTGAAGCCAGAACACGAACACATACACCCCCCAGGCACACACAACAGATTTACACACATCACACAGGGTGCACGGACAGCACATTGCATGCACATGCAACCCATGAAATATGCATACAATATGCAGGTAGCAACAATGTTATGAAATAAACAGAACAATAGCAACATTCAGGTAGCACCCAAGATATGTACAATAAAAATACATTCAACAGGGATGTAGCACCCAGGATACACATGTATCATAGCCCACATGCAGGGCACACACATTGTAAGTGAAGGTTATAAGGTGCATATGGGTCATACACAGACAATAGCCATGAAATACACAAACATATTCATACCACATATTTGATGGACATTCACCATTTAAAACAAATGCATCACACAAAAAGCAGTGAATGCCCAGATAATGCATTTTCATGCATAGCACCAGTGGGACACACACACACACACACACACACACACATACACGCCCTGTCAGAGGTCTAGAAGGCTGTGGTGCACAATGAATATCACTTAGAGTTACCTTGGGGAGGGAAGAGCTGCGTGACACACTGCCCGGGCACCACAGCCAGATATAGGTCCTCTCTTCACCCACCCCTTCATCAGGTGGCTCCCCCCATTACCCTGCCCTGCGTCTCACTGCCAATTCCACCGGAGAGAGAATGGAAAACGCGCACCCTGGGTGCACACCTCTACTAGGCTGGGCCCCCCACTTCATTTAGTTTCCCCCAGGCAGGATGAGGGCAAGATGCCCTGGTGAAAAGGCTGAGTGGACTGTCCAGCTAAAGGGTTTGGGGTACCCCAGACAGGATAGGACTGGTTGGCTTCCACTCCTTCACTGCAGCAAAGGACCAGGGCCAAGAGTTAATATTGGGGTTGGGGTGGGGGAGCAGGATTTTCAGGCAGGCGAGGAGACAGGGAAACACACAAACACATCACAGCTACATATACACAGCCACAAACACACTACACACACACAGGGATATTCACACAGACAGATACACATGCACTGCCCCGTAACACACAGTGTGTGGGCAGACATCAACCCACACATACATAATCCCACCAAAAGAGGCAGGATGGATGGTGAAGGCGAGAACAGCTTGTTCTGGAGCCTGAGGAGGCCTGATGGCTCCATCCCCTAATCTCTGTGTGTCCTGGGGCAGTTCCTTAACTTCTCTTTGCCTGAGTTTCCTCATTTTAAAGTGGGGAAATAATCATCTCTCCCTCATAAATTTGTGGTGATGACTAAATGAATTCATTCATAACTGGTAACTCAGAACAGTACTACCTGTTACACAAGAAGTAACAAATTACTGTCCATGAACATTCACATGCACAATATATACAAACAGCTTCTTGTACCGATACACATTCAATTACACACACATGCACCCACACTAAAATGTAACTCCACACACCAATTATATACACATACATATCCAGTTATAGATATATATTCACATGTGTATACATGTGTTTTCACTAATGTGGAATTACACATACACCCAAGTACATGCCCACATATAGACACACACACACACAGCTCTGTCAAACACCTATGGCCACAACGACAGCATTCCACATATGACACAGCCAGCGTAGGAGAGGAGAGGGCTCTCCCTGCCCCCGTGGGCCAGCGCTGTCCAGAGGCAGTGGAACAACACTGCGGTGACAGGTGACTTTCAGGCAGAGCAGACGGGCCAGCTCTGTGTGCTAACCCCTCTCCTGCCTAGAGAGCTCCCACAGGGCTTCCCTGGAAGGGGCTGCTGGGACCTTCCCACTCAGTCCCCAGAGAAGGTGCCCAGCCCTCCCCTGGCTCTCAGCTCTATCTGGAGCAGACAGGGCAGGGCCAATGTCTTTCAGGGTTCAGGTTGGGGTCTGTTAGGGGTGGGAGCTATTTGAGGTTTATTTCCAGGTTGGAGAAAGTCAAAGGGAGTAAATTTTAGGTCAGCAGAAGGCTCAGGCAGATTCACTGTGTCCAGCTCAGTCCAGTAGATAGGAGGTGTGCCTGGTGCTGAAGATCCTGGGGGGCCAGTGGCTGTCCACTGGTGAGGGTGTGATGGTGGTAACTGCCTTCCTAGCCCCTCCCAGTGGCCACCTGAACCCCTCAGGGACAGCTCCTCCATGGGAGGCTGATGCCTTCTCCCGGGCCTCCGGGTAGGCCCAGGACTCCTCACCGAGCTCCGTGGCCAGCACTGTGAGGTTGTGCCAGACACGAGTCTCACGGTCCAGGGGCACCGCCGTGCGGATGGTGCCGTCCTCAGGTTCAATGGAGAAGCAGCGCTCTGGGTCCGAGTGGGGTAGGATGGAGTATCTGGGGCAGATGGAGCAGAGCTGGGAGCTGGTCTGGGGACAGAGTCAGAGCTGACCACCGCCCCCCACACCCCCTTCCACTGCCTTGCTGGGTCTCAGGTTCATCTGGCAAAGCCTGCCTCTTGTACCCAGAGTCATAATTCATGTTAGGGATCCCTTAAAAGACAACTATCCCGGGAGTTGTCAACATTGAACATCTGTCCTAAGGCTTAGGGGACTGAGTTCATTGAGTGGGTGGGGAGGAGAAGAGAACTGGAAGAGGTGGACAGGATAAACACTGCCTGTCCTTCAGACTTTTGGGCTCCATTCTGGGGACCGGTGGCCTGGGACCTAGTTCCGCTCTGCCTCAGACCAGCTGCATGACCTTGGGTAAATCATTTAACCTCTGACTACTCAACTACAAAATGGGCACGACACCAGCACTTCCCTCACAGAGCAGGGATAGGCAAGCCAGGTGGCGAGGTGGGAAGTGAGGATTTGAATCCCAGCTTTGCCACTTACTGTGTGAGGTTGGGTAAGTTACTTAGCCTCTCTGGGCCTAGTGTCTAAAACAATTGGCAATGATCCTGCCAACTTCACGGGGCTGTTGTGAGAATTAAATGTTTTCAAGTGGGTAAAATGTGAAGCGCTGAGGGAGTGATCAATAGTGATAGCGATCAATTGCACTCAGCGGATGAGAGAGATCACATCTGTTCGCTTGGCCACTGGGAGGTGCCATTATTACCCACCCAGAGGGACAGGTGGGGAGTCTGGGACTGGTGACCAGCCAGCCTGGGAGAGAGAGAGTTCTGCCAGGAGGTAAGGCAATTTGTGGTAAAGGGGGGCGTATCCTCAAGTGGGACTGGCCTGCTGCGGACTCCTTCCCCAAGGCCCAGCCCTGCCCTCGCCCACACCCCAGCTCACCTAATTGGACTGGCCGGGGAGTCCAGGTCAGCAGCTGAGACCTGGCCCACCAGGGTCCCAGGGGCCTTGTTCTCGGGCACTGCCAGCTGGTAGGCAGCCTGAGTGAAGGCAGGTGGCTCAGGGGCATCCTGCACAGCCACACGCACTGAGGCCACGTCCTTGAAGGGCCCTCGCCGCAGGTAGGCTGGATCAATGAGCGTGTTGGTGGCCTCCACACGGAAGGAGTAGGAACGACGGCTCTCGAAGTCTAGGGGCTATGGTGAGGGGAGATGGAGTGACTGGGGTATGTGGAAACCGGGGCAGGCCCAGGTTTATGGAAGATGGAGTCCCTTCCCAATAGGCATCCAGTGCTCAGCCCTCTTGAGAGGAGAAGACACCAGAGTTTAGGGTGGAGGCAGATCACTTAGTTGGTAACTCTAGATCCGCCCCGGCTGTCACAGACTTGCCATATGATGAGTCTCAAGTCAGTCACTACCCCTTTCTGGGCCCCACACCTTGATATGAAAGATGAGATGACTGTGACCTCTAAGCTCTAGCACAGAGGTCCTGAGTCTGTGCCCAGGAGATCAGTCAGGAATGTGTCCCACAGGGCAGGGGGCAGGTATGAGGGAGTCTGTAAGCGGAGGCTAACCTTGCGGACAGTGAGGAGCCCGTCTCGACCCTGGGAGTCTGTGTTGATGCTGAAGGCCTCGGAGCCCTCCCCGTCAAGGATGCTGTATGCCATGAGGGCGTTGTCCCCCAGGTCTGGGTCCTGGGCCCGCAGTCGGCCCACCAGGGTGCCCGGCCCAGCCGTCTCCACCACGGAGAACTGGTACAGGCCTTGGGGTGGATGGAGGGAGACATTCTCAGCGAGGTCCACAGTGCTCCTCCCTACCCCAGTGCTTCCTTCTCCCGGGGCCGGGCTGGGGGAGGCATGGGGAGGGAAGGCTTCTCCAGAAGCTGTCAGGGTGGGGTGTCCAAAGGACAGCTCAGACAGCAGCACTGGCCCCTTACTCTGAGGGAACTTGGGGGGGTTGTCATTGACATCGCTGAGGGTGACGGTCACTGTCGTGCTGCCCGACAGCCCCCCCATGTGGCCGCCCATGTCCTTGGCCTGAATCACCACCAAGAACTCCTCCTGAGTCTCCCGGTCCATGTTGGGGATGGCAGTTCGCACCACTCCTAGGGAGAGACGCCAGGTCAGTCAGGGGTGTCTGTTCTCATGGCTGCCCCACCAGACATCTGAGCTCCATCCTCACCAGTCTGGGGGTCCACAGAAAAGAAAGGCAGTCCGTCCAGCACAGTGTACACCAGCTTGGCGCTGTTTCCATAGCTGGGGTCGTCGGCGTCATGAGCAGTCACCTGGATCACCGATGTCCCTGGGGGCGGGGGGAATCCCAGCACCCCCATCAGCAGGGTAGGGCCAAGTGGGGGAAGCAGATCAGATGAAGGGTTCCCAGACATGAACAGGGCTGAAGAGAAGAGGTGGGTTCTGGGGCAGGAAGCAATGGGGGAAGGAGAGGTGAGGACACTCCAGGAGATGGCATCTGGGACATTCAGAGCCGGAGTACTCACCGACATTGGACATCTCTGGCACTGTGGCATGGTAGGGCCCCAGGGGAAAGATGGGCGGGTTGTCATTGATGTCTTGTACTTTGATGATGAATTCTGATGGGGGCTCCAGGGGACGGTTAGAGGCTCGGTCCACAGCTTGGGCCAGTAGCACGTACTGTGCCTTCTCCTCCCGGTCCAGGCTCTTGGTGACATGGATATTGCCTGTGGCTTCGTCAATCACAAATACGGTGCCTGCCCCCTCCCCGGTCAGCAGGTACTTGGTGCGCCCCTCGCCCCGGTCCACATCCGAGTGCAGCTGTAGGGGCCGGGGGAAAATGGCAGAGGGTTCCGAGCACAGAGACAGAAGGTTAAGAGTCTAAGCCTAGGACGGGGTGGAGCGCTGGGAGTCCTGAGGGACCAAGGTCATTGGAGAAGTGATGAAGTTGCAGGGCAGGGCCTAAGGGCCTGGAGAGCAGGGTAGACATGGGAGAGCTGGAGTTACCTTGCCAATAAGGACGGGTTCCGGGCCGGCATATTCCTCAATGACGAAGAACTGGTTCCACACCCAGCTCCTTCGGGTCCGCAGCAGTGCTGGTCCTGGGGTCCCCCGGGACCCTGCCCAGGCCCGGGCTGGGGCTGCCAGGCGCCCCATGCAGCCCCAGCCACCCAACCAAGCCAAGAGGAGCCTCACCAGGCCCCACATGTTTGGGCTCCAGCCAGGGACCTGTTCACTGCCCCTGGGTGTTGAGGCATGAGATGGCTGGGGCAGAAGGGCAGAGGCATCCGGGCTACCCCATGGAATCCATGCCTGTAGGACAGGTAGTTGTTCAGGGTCTGGGAAACCCTTAATCCTCCTCTCTCCACTAAAGTTAGATGCTATAGAACAGACCTCCCAGGAGGCAGACACGCCACGACCCAGAGCCCAGTCTGAGATAGGGAGCAGCCAGTCTGATCCTTCCCTCTCTGCCCGTGTTCACCTCCAGTCCTGCAGGCTGATAAATCTCTGGTCAGTCAACTCTGAGAAGCTGGGGAAGAAAATAGGAGAGAGGATGCTGGGAGGGTTTAGAACCCCACATCTGTCCCCCATCTTTCCAGGTGGGGTTTGCTGTGAGGGGGCTGGAGGAAAGGGCTTAACACCTAATAGATGGGGTTCATGGAGGTGTGGCCTCAAGGTACCCAGGGTCAGGCCGAGCGATGACAGGGAGGGCAGCCTTGACAAGGTGGAGAGCCCCAGAAGTTCCTCCACTGGGGAGCCCCACCTCGCCTGAGCCTGACCCCAGTCCACTCTGCCAGCTGAAGTCCTTGCAGGGGGGCGGGCAGAGGGGTGGGTCAGTGCTGCAGGGAAAGGGGTAGCGCTGGGGGCAGGGCCAGGGAAAGCCAGCAGAGGTAGACCCAGAGGCTGGAGAAAACATGACTGAGGGTGAGACCAAGACTCAGGGACTGTCCGACAGAGACAGAATAGCAGCAGGAGACAGAAGGAAAGAGATGAAAGGAGGCAGCCTGAGTGTTTGAAAGGCAGCGAGGAGTCAGAGGTGCCAGGCTTGGGGATGGGTGGGAGGGCGCAGAGGGGCTCTCGGGGTGTGCGACGGGCAAGCAGGGGCAGCCCTCAGCTGCGGGGCGATCAGGCCGCTGCAACTTCATTCTGGGGAAGGAGCAGCCGGGAGGGGTTGCAGGCGGGGAGCAGGAGAGGACCCTTCTCACTGCCGTCCCCTCCTTCTCTGGGGGGTGGGACCCCCTCAGGCGGCGGTGCTGCGCCCCTCCTCTCCCAGGGCACACACCTGACAGCCCTGCCCTCCCGAGGGAAGCCGAGCACCGGCGAGGGAGGCGGGACGCGGAGGAAGGAGAGGGCGAGAGGAGTGGAAAAGAGGATAGCGGGAGAGGAGAGGAGAGGCGAGGGCAGGACGGGGGCAGGAACGGAGGGCGGGAAAAGGGAAAGAGCCGGTGCAGGAAGGAAAGGCAGAGGAGGGAAGAGGCCGAGAGGGAGAGGAGATGGAGAAAGAGCCAGCGGGAGCGGAGAGCTGGGGAGACGGAGGGAAGGGACGCGGCGAACGGGAGAAGGCAGGGGGAAGACAGCGAGCGAGAGGAAAATGGGCAAAAGCGGGATTGGTGTGCGGGCGGCAGGGCAGCGGCCGCGCGCGGGCGCGGGGAGCCGGCGGCGGAGCCGGGAGCCGGCAGCGAGCTCCCGGGCGCGGAGCGCACCGCTCTGAAGACACCGCAGGCTGCGGCCCCGCTGCCCCTCCGCGGACCGCCGCCGGGGCCCCCGGGCGGAAGCCCTTACCTGGATGTGCCGAGGGGCCCAGCGAGGCGCGGGGCGCCCCCGCCCGCCCCCGCCGCCGAGTCGCGGGGCGCAGCCCCGAGCCGATCGGAGCGGGCGCCGCGGCTCCGCTGCAGGTCTGAGCGGCCCCGGCGAGAACAAGGGAGCGAGACGGAGGGGGCGGGGGAAGGAGGCTCCGCCTGCGGAGGAGCGAGGCGGCTCCGCGCCGCGCGGGAGAGCAGAGCCCAGCCTCCGACCCTCCCCGGCCAGCCCCGGCCCGCGCGGCGGGGGCGGGGGCGGGGGCGGGGGCGGCGCCTGGCGCTGCCGGGCGCATACAGATGCGGCGCCCTCCCGGGCCGGGCCGCGGCGCCCGGCGGGCTCTCGGCGGGAGGACGCCCGGGCCCAGGGAGCGGGCCTTTTCCTTAGAGCAGGCGGGGCGGGCTCACCCGCGGGCGCGAAGCGGCGCGCACAGCCCGGGCAGCAGGGCGGAGGGCAGCGCACGGCGAGGCGGGGAATTGGGCGCCCACTGCAGAGAGGCCCGACTCCCCCGCTCCCAGATCAGCCTTTGGGGCTCGCCTGGGCCGCGGCCTCAGAGAGGGAGCGTTTGGGGAGCCTGTGTAGGGCAGGACACCAAGCCGGCTGGGCGCGCTTAAGAACGGCAGAGGGATCCGGGGAACAGGTCAGGGATCCGAGGCATGACAGGGGCGGTAGGGGACGGATTTAGGGAGTGGAGCCGTTTGGGGAAGCTCTTTTGCAGGCGCCGACTGAGCGAGCGGCTGCCGCCCCCTGGTGGCAGTTGCGGAGACACCTTGAAGAAGGTGGCAAGCAGGTGACCAACTGTCTATTTTGCGCGGGACGGGGCCCACCAAGGACCCTCTCCTGGGGGGTGCGTCTCTCCCCCATCCCCCCCCATCCCCACAGGAAAAGCCACAGTGCGGTCTGGTTAGAGCGACGGCTGGAGGAGGCTGCCAAGTCCCTGGGAGCAGCAACCTGCTAAATGAAACCACCCTGAATCTTCCAGCCGTCACTTCAGTTAGATTTGGCTCTCACCCAGGCCCTGCTAAAGGAAAGCCACTCACACACTATTTAAAACTAAGTCAGATTTTTATTATTTTCCATAGACCACATCATTTAATAATAAAAAAAATAAAAATAAAAATTGAACAAAAGGAAAGGTGGATATAAAGTGGAACCGGTGGCCAAGAGGCAAGGACTGCAGGACAGAAGAGACTGGGAACTGCAGGGGCCCGGGGACTCAGGAGGAGATGCTGATTCAGCTCATAGGTGACCCAGTCCTGGCCCCGGCTGTTCCCAAGAGGAGGCTGTGAGTACCCAAGGGAGGTGATGAGCAGGATGGAGGAAAAATGAAAGAACTCCTGGGCTGTTCCACACCTCTGGGCCAACCACCTTACCTCCCTAACCTAGCTCTCAGACTTCACAATGGGAAATGAGAGACAGGAGAGGGCCAAGTCCCAAGAGATAGGTTATGGGGGGTGGGGGAAAGATGGCCACTGCTGCATTTGGTATGTGGGGACAGGTGGCAGCCATACTTCAGCACTGGGCAAATGGTGTGAAAGACCCTTGGTTTCAGGGTGGTGGAGATTGTACCTATCCCTCTGTGGCCTTGAACCCCTGGGGCAGGGTGGCTGATGCCTGCAGCTCTCCCTAGTGTTTTCTCAGCTAGCGGCGCCCACCCCGGTCCCGAACAGGCGTGCTCCGACTCCGGCTCCTGCTGTGGCGCTTAGTATCTCTACGGTCCCTCTCCCGGCCTCGTTCCCGGTCCCTTTCCCTCTCTCGATCTCGATCCCCCCTGTCACGCTCCCTGTCCCTTTCTCTTTCCCTGTCCCTCTCTCGGCTGTGCTCTCTCCGCTTCTCCCGCTCCAGCTGTCGGTTCCGTTCCCGCTCTGCTTCCTTCTCCCGCTCCTTCTGCTCCTCCTCTTCTTGTTCCTTTCGTCGCTTCTCCCGCTCCTTGGCCCGCTCAGCCCGTTCTGCCTCCTTCTGAACAATCTGCAGCAGGCAGTAAAGAGGCCTGTCAGCCCCGCTTGCTTAGAGCAGCCCCACTTTGTCTATCTGCAGCCGGACCCCAAATGCCTAGCTTCAGGTCGGTCAAACTGGCTGCTAAACAGAAAAGAAGGAGCCACCACCCACATGTGTCCTTGATTCAAGAGCTCAGTCCCTCCAAGCTTTCAACTTTTATACCTATGTCAGGCTAGCTGCACCAGCCAAGCCTTTCCTCTGGTTCTTCCCTAGCCACCTAGGATGTGAATAAACTGCCTTTCTCTTTACTTAGCAGTATAAGCCTAGAGGCTCAAACTTTAGAAATTAAAAAGTAGAGAAATAGGTAAGTCTCTCAGCTCACTAAAATTAATTTCTAAGGAGAATGGTTGGCACAGCCAGCTTCCTAGGAGACACAGTTTCCATCTTGTGTTTCCTTTCACCCCTCCTGGTTTGGCTGCCCTCTGGCACACATCAACTGCTGCCTTAAAATTGCGTCTTTCTGGGATGCTTAGTTTCTTCCCTTTCCAACAACAGCTCACACCTGCACCTACGCCCTGAAGGGACCCCGGCCTCAGGGGAAACAAGAAGTCTACTCACCTGGCTGTCAGTCAGTGGGAGCCAGTAGATGCAGGGAGCTGCCTTGGTTTTACGGAAAAGGTCATCCAGCAGTTTGGCAGGTGGTTCCTCCTGAGCTTTCTCTGAGGTAGGAAAAGTTATCAGACTCGTTGTCTCTGACCCTGTGCCCTCCCCAGCTGGCTCCCTTTCCCACCTACTAGAGGTGTGTGTGCCCCACAGCTAAGTACCTTTCTTCTCACTCTTCTTTTCTTTAGATTTCGCACGTTCCTTGCGGCGGCGGTCACGGGACCGTGATCGGGAGCGGGGCCCTTCTCGAACTTTGTCCCGATCCCATTCACGCTCTGATCGAGTTCGCTCCCGCCGCTCCATTTCCCGTTCCCGCTCTGCCCACTGTTCCCGCACGGCCCGCTCCTGTTCCCGCTGCTCTGCCCGGGGGTGCTGTGGTGGCTGGGCTGGGGGTGGGGGTGGGGGGTGCAAGGGTCGTGGTACCCCCTGCTCCTCTGGCTTAGCTTCAGAGGGACGGTCCACCAAGAGGCCCCGGTGATAATCCAGCTGTGGGTAGAGGAGGGACAAGGACAGTCAGGATGGAGATGACCTCACTCTCACTGAAGGATCCCAGGTACCAGGGTATAAAGACTTTGGAGTGCCACGGAAGGAAAAGGGGGGAAGGACTCTCAGTGCCTGCAGGTTTGGCCAGGATCTCAGCTGGAATCTAGCAGATAATGGCCCCCCTGCTCCTTCCCTCCCCTCCTCTCCCTAGGTTTCTTACCTCATCTTGCTCAGCATAGTCAGCACAAAGGAATTTGGGATTGGACTGGGGCCATTTGACCCCGTGTAGAGCTGTGCGGGTGGCAACAGCTTCCTCTACTGTGGAGTACTGGTGGAGGAAAGGAGGCGGCAAAGGTCACAATAGGCCTTCAATTCCTCCCATCTTCCCACATTGGTCACAAAAGGAAATCTATGCCACAAACTAGAGAAGCAGCTTCTTCTCACCGTTACAAAGCAGTGAGATTTGATCTTGTCAATCCAGAAGGCCTCTTCCACCAGAGTTCCTGTGCGTCCCAACAACTCCTTCAGTTGGCCTAAAGTGAAGGGACGAACCTGCCAGTGAAAACAGGAGTTTCAGGATCTTGAAGAAGGCAGAAACAATTCTCATAAAACTTAAGAATTCTCAAGCTGTGGTCACAGAGCATACTCTAAGGTCTGGGTTAGGAGAGAGGTCAGGAACCCTCTAGTAGGAAAGTGACAAGTGTGATAATACTGACTAAGGCACTATATGCCAGGCCTTCTACAAACCCTCAAGACAACCCTACAGAGTGAGAATCTCCTCCCCTTTTCCCATTTTCCCCATACTGACACTGTAGCACTTAAGCAGCCACAAGCAAGAGTAAATAAGTGGTGGCTGTGTTCTAATAAAACTTTATTTATTATAGGCAACAGGCTGGACTTCATAGCCTATTGACCCCTAAAAGGGCCAATTAATGCAACGCACTGTTTAGATGAGAAAGCTTGCGAAGTTACTTGCTCAATGAGTCAATGAGTAAGTAACTAGCAGATCTTAGTGTTGACCCTCAGAAGCTTGAGTCCAAACTCAAACTCTTAAACGTCAAATGAGACTAGACCGTGGGCAACAATGACTTACCAAATTGGAGATGTGGACGATGTTACTGATCTTGCCCCGGGGTGGGGAGGGCACCTGAGCAGTTCGGACTGGGTCATCAATTGTAATGGAAACTCCAGACTTCTGCTGGCTAATGGACCGTCGGGTTAAGGTATCTCCTAAAGTCACTATCAGATAAAGCACCCAAGTGGTTTTTCAGTTGGGAACACGGCTTTGTGGGAGGCTCTTTCACCTCTAATGACTTTTATTCCCCACCCAGCAGTCACCCTTCCAGCCAGAGTGCAAGGCACTGTCTAGGCTGATCTCTTCATTATGGGGATTCAAAAATTACAGATTGGAACTCAGCCTTTAAAGGAGCTTAATAAGAAGTAGGAAGGGGAGATAAGGCAGACACAAGAAACACTGTAATACAAGGCTGAAAGCATTAAGCACTTTAGAAGAGGTCCAAATAAAGTGCTCTGGGAGGGAGTTCTGGCAGCTACACTCAGGTTCACGCATCACACAACACCCACCTTTCTTTATTTCATGCTCCACAGGAGGGGGCAAAGCCACTTCTACAGAAACCTGGGGCGGTACTGGGGGTTCTGCTTCAGGCTCCTTCTCTTCTTCTTCTTCTTCCCTTTGCCCATTCTCCTGGCCCTCCGCAGGTACTACCTGTAAGATAGCAGATAACGGAGGGATTCTTGAACACCAAAACTGGTACACCCTCTTCTGCCTCTGGTTTCTTGGTAGGAAGATATTAGAGTCAACACAGGATGTTCCTTCCATATAGGGGGTAGGGGGGTGGGAGATTTCACCATTAAGTTCACACCACCAGATCCTGGGACTGTTAATGCATCAAGTCTGATAAGACCGCGAATATTTTAGCA